AAGGCTTCTCTTAGTCCTTGCGTGATTGGAGATAAGTGGCTAAACCTCAGGAAACCATGCCCCTGGGAAACCTGTCTTGGCATCACAGTTCTCAGCATGCGGGGCCCTACTTGGGTGTGCCCAAGCTCCTCTGTGCTTCTCTCCTTCAAGAGGAACCTGATGGCCAGGTGCGGTGGCTCACACCTGTAATCTCAGTACTTTGGGAGGCCTAGGCAGGTGGATCACCTGAGGTCAGGAGTTTGAGACCAGCCTGGCCAACATGGCAAAATCTCGTCTCTACCAAATATACAAAAATTTGCCAGGTGTGGTGGCGAGCACCTGTAGTCCTAGCTGCTCAGGAGGCTGAGGCAGAAGAATCACTTGAACCTGGGAGGTGGAGGTTGCAGTGAGCTGAGATCACGTCACTGCACTCCAGCCTGGGAAACAGAGCAAGATTTCATCTCAAAAAGAACCTGATGCCTGGTGGCTGGCCAGTGGGCACGCGTGTGTGAACAAGGTCCAGTCACAATGGTGTTCAGCTCACCCTGGTAGTTTTCATCTTATTCCCTATTCTGGATCCTATGGCTTGGCCTCAAATCACAGGAATTTGGGCCTTCTGCAAGAATAGGGGGGTGGGGTGCACTGGCAACTTTTTCATTCTCATTTTAGATAGGTACCATATATATATATTTTTATTATTATTTATTTATTTATTTATTTTGAGACAGAGTCTCACTCTGTTGCCCAGGCTGGAGTACAGTGGCGTGATCTCAGCTCACTGCAAGCTTCACCTCCAGGGTTCAAGCAATTTTCCTGCTTCAACCTCCTGAGTAGCTGGGATTACAGGCGCCTGCCATCACGCCCAGCTAATTTTTGTATTTTTAGTAGAGACAGGGTTTAGCCATGTTGGCCAGGCTGGTATCGAACTCCTGACCTCAAGTGATCTGCCTGCCTTGGCCTCCCAAAGTTCTGGGATTACAGGTATAAGCCACTGTGCCCGGCCCAGTATGTATTTTTGAACAAGATTTGTGGGGATACTGAAGATGTACAGAGGTATTTACCAGATGTAAATAGGGTCCTCTTATCCCTTACCCCCACTTTCCCACTACCCTGAACCTGAGAGCGTGCTCTTGTCTGTGGAGTGAATGATCCAGCCTGGCTGAGGGCCCTCTAGGACAGACTGTCCGCTGATGCTCTTCTCCCAGCCTCTCCTGCCCGCTTCCTCCAGCATCTCTCTTCCCTAGTCCCCTCTTGTCCAAGGTTCCCTGATGCATGCTTTGTTTTCCAGCACACTAACCTTTTAAAATAACTGTTTCCTAGCGTATCATAACCCAAGGATTTCAAATGTCTGGAAAGTATCCCTGCAGTGCCGTCTCCCCCAGCCTTGTGGCATGCGTGACTCTGCAGGCCATCTGAACAGCCCTCATCAACAGGGGTGTCATTGTCTTCCAGCCCACTCCATGCAGATGGGGACAGAGCCCCTCTGTGCAGGCCAGGATTTCCTGTGTGCTGGCTGCCCTCTCTCTAAATAGCCCAAGTAGTGCCCTCTTCTGCCTGGTGATGGTGATTCATGATGTTGTCTTCTTTTTTTTTTTTTTTTTTTTTTTGAGACGGAGTTTCATTCTTGTTGCCCAGGCTGAAGTGCAATGGCACAATCTCGGCTCATTGCAACCTCCACCTCCTGGGTTCAAGCGATTCTCCTGCCTCAGCCTCCTGAGTAGCTGGGATTACAGGCACCTGCCATCATGCCCGACTGATTTTTATATTTTTAGTAGAGATGAGGTTTCACTATGTTGGCCAGGCTGGTCTCGGAACTCCCTACCTCAGGTGATCCACCCGCCTTGGCCTCCCAAAGTTCTGGGATTACAGGCATGAGCCACTGCGCCCGGCCTGACTCATAGTGTCTTCTACAACCTGGTGCCTTATTTGTCTTTCTCTCTTGGTGGCAAAACATACTAAATGTAAAACTTACCATTGTCACCATTTTTAAGCGTATTATTCAGTGGCATTTAGTACATTCACATTATTGTGCCACCATCACCACTATCCATTTCCAGAACTTGTTTATCATCCCAAACAGAAACTCTATGCCCATTAAATAATAACTCCCCAATTCTCCCCCTTCCCTCAGTCCTTGGAAACCTCTATTCTACTTTCTGTCTCCATGAATTTACCTATTGTAGGTTCCTTATATAAGTGGAATTATACAATATTTGTACTTTTATGTCTGGCTTCTGTCACTTAGTATAATGTTTTCAAGGTTCATCCACATTGTAGCCTATGTCAGCATTTCATTCCTTTTTGTGGCTGAGTAATATTCCATTGTTCTAAGTATGTAGAGTACATTTTATTTATCCATTTATCTATTGATGGACAGTTGGGTTGTTTCCAGCTGTGGACTATTGTGAATAACGCCACTATGAACATTGGTGTACAATGACCTATTTGAGTCCTGTTTCCAATTCGTTGGGGTATATACCCATGAATGGAATCACTGGAGCATATGGTAATTCTGTGTTTAACTTTGAGGAACCACCAAACTGTGGTTTTTCACTGTGTTTCACTATCTTTTTCACAGTGGCTGTACCATTTCACATTACCACCAACAATGAACTTTATTTTGTTTAATATCTTATTTTAGACTGCAGAAATAATGCATATTTCTTGTAAGAACACCAAAGGTTGCAGAGGTACTTCCAAAGAGAAGTTGCCCCCATGCAACCCTTCCTCTTAGGTAACTGCTGCCTGAGATTTGGTGCATATCCACCCAGACGTCTTCCTGTGTGTACCCAAGTATACACATGGACATCCAGACATTTGAACAAAAATGGTTTAGCGTACACATGGCCTGGCCACTTGGTTTATTTCATGCGATCCTATTTGGCGCTGGAAGGTGTCGACTGCATGTGGTCATGCCCTGTGTTGTTTATTGCATATAGGGTATTGAGAGACAAGTGGGTGGTTCCCCATTTTAGCTCTGCATTTATGGCTTTGCACATTTGGGCCTACCTTTCACCAGATCACAGCCTGTTTGGGGAATGTGAGCTGAGCACGCACTGGGGAGGCCCTCCAGCCCAGAGCCACCTTCCCCACCAGCCTCAGTCTTTCCCAAGTTGCTTGCCACCCCCAGTGCAGCTAAACTGAGCTGAGCTGTGAGCTTCCTTGTGAAGGAGGGCCACCCACCTGGCCTCAGCATGCAGGCAGCGCAGCCAGGCATCCCCTCCCCTCTGGGAATACCGGAGTGACTTAGAGCTGGGTGGAGAGTTGAGCAGCAGGCTGGAGTGTGTGTGTGTGTGTGTGTGTGTGTGTGTGTGTGTGTGTCAGTCAGAGAGAGAGAAGCCGTCGCCATTAGCCTGCTGGTCTCTAGTGGTACCGGGTGGCACTGTTCTTCGTGGTGACTTGTAGGGCCCTCGAGGCGTACAGCCCCCTTGCTCACTCAGGAAGGCCCAGTTAGGCCTGGCAAAAGGCCACCTGTAAAGCCAGGGACCAGCCGGGCTTTCTCCAGTACCTTTTTCTGCAGAGCCCCGGGCAGCTGGTGGGAGAGTACAAAGAGGCCTGGAAATTCCATACACTGCATAATCAGCCCCTGCATCTTGGCCGCTTGACTCTGTTTATTGCTTCCTGTCCCCAAAAGCCCTTTACAAAAAGAGCCGCTTTGGTGAGGGGGTGAGTTGGACCTGGTGGGTGGCCTGCCCCTGTGGTCCCAGCACGGACGGAGCAGGCAGCTTCCCTAAACAAGCCACCTCTGCTGCAGCCACCCTGCAGAGCCGAGGAAGGGTGGGAATGAGGTCGCCCCCCACCGCCCCCCTGCCACGGTAGCGAGATCCACCGCCAGGCCGGGCCCCTAGGGCCATTTACTTTGTAATTGCCAAAGGACAGGGTTCTTGTTTCTCCTAATTTCCTCGAAGGCCTCAAGGTTAAGCTCTCATGAAGTGCAGGAGGGGAGCAGAGTGAAATCTTAGCCTCTTGATGACCCCTGTGAAATGGGACAGGAAGCAAGGGCCCGTTCCCCAGGAACGAAGGACAGGCCTGGGCCCCAGGGCTTATGAGGCTTGCTCAAAGCCTGTTTTTTTGTTGTTTGCATTATGTTTTTAGAATCAGATTTTTCCTTGTTGACTGACTTTTTTCCTCTGGTGACCATATTCCCTTCCTTCCCTCCCACTTCCCCAGCCTTCATCCCTCTTCTCCAGAATTTAGCCTTTCCCACCACTCCTGGTGGCTGACGTGTGACTTTTTAAGGGAACAGCTGCAGCTCTGAAAAGTTGCCCGAGACACAGTGTTTCAGGGTTGCTAGGTGCCCGTGAGGACAGTTATGGGTGTTTTCCTCGCCTAGGAGATGCGGTGGGGTTGGGGGGCCAGGACACCTGCATGGTTGGAGGAGAGATGCCATCTTTTGGCAAGGGGGTGTAGGAAGGCAGCCTTCGTAGAGCTGGGGCTGCCCCCTGCCAGCTGGGGCGAGGGGGTGTCTTTCATCTCTCCCAGACACAGGGCTCCCACTGGGGTCTGGCTGCGCAGAGTCCCATCCTTCCCTCTGTGGCCAGCCTTGTGTCTCCTTTACTTGGTCTCCTTGACTTGGAACACCTTTGACCACAAAACCCTGATTTTTATCCCTGTTGGAAATCCTCTCTGATTTCTGTTTTTGAAACAGGGTCTCTCTCTGTCACCCAGGCTGGAGTGCAGTGGAGCCATCATAGCTCACTGTAGCCTTGAACCCTGGGCTCAAGTACTCCTCCCATCTCACCTTCCTGAATAGCCGGGACTACAGGTGCGCACCACCATGCCTGGCTAATTTTTCCTTTTGTATAGAGAAAGGTGCTCAAGCTGGTCTCAAGCTCCTGGCCTCAAGTGGTCCTCTCACCTCAGCCTCCCAAAGCACTGGGATTATATAGGTTTTCATATACTGTGCCCAGTCTCTGATTTAAAAGACAGTGGAGATGAGTTGGCCTGTACTTTCTCTGTGGACCTGCTATATGGGGCCGTGGGTTGGCCTGCACTTTTCTGCAGGTGGCCTGTCTAAGCTGACTTCCACCTGGGACCTGTCTGTGTTTGAGCCTGTGCTTTGATTGTGCAATTCTGAGCCTGCCCCACCCTCCTAGCTCCTTCCTGAAAGTGAAATGCTACAGTCTTTGCTCAAGAACAAAGGCCTCAAGCTCAGCCCTGCATGTTAATAATTTTCAAGTGTGGTCACTTCCTCTTGCCTGGCCTGACTCACCCTGGCTGCTACCCATTGTGGCTGCCATGGAAATACAACTCGATGAGAGCCCAGACCAGGACAGGGAGGCCATGCTGTGGGTGGCAGTGGAGCCTGGCAAGGTGCCCTCCTGGCCTGGGACTGCTGTGGCAGAGGAAGCATGTGGTGGTGCCTCACCTGCCCAGCTCAGAGCTGAGGTGCCCCGTTGCTTTTTTACCTCCCTGCTGCCTGGCTGGCCCGCTGCACCTACACACTCAATGCAGCGGCTTCGCTCCTGCTCCTGGATGGCTGGAGGTGGGATCATTGCCAGGATGGCCTCACATGTGCCCAGGTCTCCTGGAAGACTCAGTTTCCCTCTTTGTCCCATGCAGAGGCGCAGAGGTTCATTATTGTAAGTGGGGTGACAGCGTGGTGAGGGGTTGGAGTGTGGGCTCTAGGGTGGAATCCTGACCTGGTTACTCCTGACTGCGAGGCTTGGGGCAAGGTATTTAACTCCTCTGTACCTCAATCCCCTTCTCTGCAAAATAACAGTCCCTGCTTCATAGGATTGTTGTGAGGATGGCATGGCACCCAGGCCAGCTCTCTGCTATAGGGTTTGTACCCAGCCTGGAGCCTGGCTGAATGCAAAGGGTTTGGGGACTTTCCCGCAGCATCGTAAGCTGTTGAGTGCTGTGCACACATAAAGCACAATCATTGTGGATAGTCAGTGTGGTCAGAGTGAGAGGATGATCTGTCTTGGAATTCTCAAATGGCTAGGATCAGCAGATCCTGGCTACAGTTCACAGATGCTTCCCCTGTAGAAGCTGGGTTTTCATCCTTGCCTTTCCTGTTCATCCTTCCTCTTTAGTTATTTTGCACATGCACACAGGTTCACCATACACAAAGGTAGCATGAATCTCAATTCACCCCGTGTCCAGGCTGTGGGTCTGATAATCCCCACAACTCTACTGTTAGGGATCCACAGACCTTGAAGAATGAGGCAGTCATATGTTTGCCACCAGCAAGCAGTGTTCAAGCCCTACCTGAATGCATCATGGTCTTCTTTTTGAGACGGAGTCTTGCTCTGTTGCCCAGGCTGGAGTGCAGTGATGTGATCTCAGCTCACTGCAACCTGCGCCTCCCGGGTTCAAGCACTGAATGCATCATGTTTTTTTTTTGTTTTTTTGTTTTTGTTTTTTGTTTTTTTTTGAGGTAGAGTCTCGCTCTTGTCTCCCAGGCTGGAGTGCAATGGCGCAATCTCAGCTCACTGCAACCGCTGCCTCCCTGCAACCTCTGCCTCCCGGGTTCAAGCAATTCTCCTGCCTCAGCCTCCCGAGTAGCTGGGATTACAGGTGCCTGCCACCATGCGTGGTTAATTTTTGTATTTTTAGTAGAGATGGGGTTTCACTGTGTTGGCCAGGCTGATCTTGAACTCCTGACTCAGGGGGTTAGCCCGCCTCTGCCTCCCAAAGTGCTGGGATTACAGGTGTGAGCCACCACGCCTGGCCAATGCATCATGTTTTAATGATGATCATCAAAGGAGCCAAGGGACTGAGAAATGTCTAGCTGCTTCTGGAAGATTCTAGCAACTGCTGGCTGCTTCTCATGCTGTTTTCACACATCCCTTAAGTCTGATTAAACTTGTAACCCATTTGTAGGCTGGGGCCATTTCGGCTACATCCTCTATACAGCCCAGTCCCTCATGCCCATTCTGTGCTGGGAGAGGGGGAGCACACCATTCACACCTCCCAGGTGGCTGCTTCCCTGTGACAAACAGAGTAGGTGCAAGTTTGGGCTTGTGAGGTGATTTGGCAGTGCCTTTGTTTGATGACTGTTGACTAAGCCCAGGTGTGCACACTCAATGTTTACAGAGTCCTGGTTGGCTCACAGCTGGGGCTGGAATGAAGAAAATAAATATTCAGGGGAGGGATAGGTGGCATGGATGATCCAGAAGTCATCTGTTTAGGGCCTAGAGCCAGAGGTAAGGTATTTTTGCAGGTTTCCTTAAGTCAACCAGACAGGAACTTTTTGTCATGAGTATCTACAGTGTGTGCTGGCTGCTATAGGGACCGAGCAGTCCGTGAAACTCAGTTTATATACCTGTGGACCAGCTGGGAACCTAGAGAGGACACAGAGGATGTTGGAGGTGAAAGGAGTCTTGGAGATTATTTAGTCCTACCCTCCCATTTTCCAGATGGAAACCTGGAGGCCAAGAAGGTAAAATGATTTGTCCGAGGTCACTTGGCTAATTAGTGATGGGACCAAAACTGGCATCCAGGTCCTGAACTGCATCACCTTGCAAGAGAGTGGTCCTCACACTTTCCTGTGCATGAGAATGACCCAGGGAGCTTGTTAGAAAGCAAATCCCCAGGCCATGTCCTCAGAGATTCTGATTTAATAGTGGGTTAGAGAATATGGGGAGTCTGAGGAAGGTGGTCGCCACCACCCTCTGAGATACACTGCTATAGTGCAAAGAGCATTTGACTTCTTAGACTGATGGAAAAGCTCATTGCATTTCCTGAAGCCTCATCAGTAGCAGTGAGCAGAACAGGCAGAGATGCAAACAACTTGAGAGATGGGAGCATGAGGGATTAAACCCAGGCTTTAAAATGCATTGCAAGTAACTGGTATGTCAGGAGACTTGACATGTACATGCAATTTAAATGTGGCGCAGTCCTGGACAATCTCTAGGTCACACACGACTCGGTGTATCTATCTATAAAATGGTCATGATGATGGTGGAAGGTAATAACCTACATTGTCACGAGGATTAAACGATGTGATGCATGAGAAGCACTTTGCCTAGCACTCGCTAAATGGCAGCTTCTCTGATTATGCATAATTGCTGGGGGTGGATGAGGGCAGGTTTCTGTTTAATGCCTTTACATAATGGACTTCTGCTGAGGGTTTCATTTGAAGAAAGGGGTTCTGGTTCTGTAGCTAAAGAAAGTGTACAGACCCTTCCATCCCTGGGGGACTAGGATGCAGCAGGCTGTTTCTGCAGAGGACTCATCCCAGTTTGCACCTTTCTCTGGTCCTGACCTACTCCGCCAGCCCCCACCTATATATCCCTGGAAGATTTCAATGATCAGACCAAACAGGGACTGTTTCTCTCCGTTTTCTAGAAGTAGAGATTGAGGCCCTCGGGAGGCAAAGGAGGCTGGTTATGGGACCCCTAAGAGCTCTTGTTCCCTTCCCCTGATTGTTAGATTTGGGGCCGAGGCTACCAGCCCCAGCTGGCCTGAAGTCCTTCCCTGCGCTGCCTTCTAGGAGCTGGGCCTGCAGGGAACCAGGAAGCTGGTGTCTTGGCCAGGGTGTGCCACTTCCTGGTTCTGGCCAGTTTTGCTGCCAGTCAGGTCAGCCTGACCTTACCAATGCTGTAAAATCCATTCTGGGTGCAGATGGGGGAAGAGAGGGATCCCAAGGCCTCATCTGGCCCTGCTATCGGCTTAATGAAGGGGGTGGCTTGGAGGGTGGGCTGTGGGAGGGCTGAGGGTGCTGTCAGTGCACACTAGTGAGTGCGTATAGAAGAGTGACTGTAATTTTAGCTTCAGAGTTGGGCGAAGAGGGGAGTAGTACATTGAGTGCCTGGGCTGCGTGGGATGCTTCAAGAAAAATCCTAAAGCGGTGTCTGTGTCCTATGGCTGCGAGGGCCTGGGAGGAGCATGTGGCACTGTGCAAGTGAATGGGGTTGAGTGAGCTGGTGTGTGTGGCAATGAGTGGGAGCCTGTGAGCACATGCAGGCATGTGAGCTGTGTGCTGGCATGTGTTGCTGTGTGTGCCCATACAAGGAGAGAGCACTGGCCAGGAGTCTCACGATCTGGGTTCGAATCCCAGTGCTGCAGCCACTGGGCTCTGTGACCTTTGGCAACATGCACCATCTGGAAGTGAGAACATGAGGTTTCTCCTGCCTCCCTAACCGTGGCAGCTCCAGAGTATATGTGTGGGCACGTGGGTGTGCGGATGGGCAGGAGAGGGGACCTAGGCAGCTGGCATCTGGGCGCTCCTGACTGTGCAAGGGGAGCTCTGCTGCTACACAGGCAGAGCAGGGGCCAAGGCCGGGCGGAGGGAGCAGTCTGTGGTTGGGGGGTGTAGTTGGCCCAGCAGTAAGTGGCTCTAAACTATCCCATCTGCTGTCTGGGCTGGGCCCTTCTTACTCTGGGTGGAATTTCTGATGGTGTCCCGGCTGCCTGAGGCGGGTGGACTCCCAGCCGCAGCTGCTGCCTGCTCTTCTGAAGCTCAGCCCTGGGCCAGCCACCCCTCCCTCCCAGCTTCTGTTCCTCTGCCCTGGGCCTGCATTCCTCAGCTGCCAGAGAAGGCATTTCTGAGAGGGCCACTCTGCCTGTGCTCCTGCTGCCCAGGGCCCATGGAGCCCCTCCCCTGGGGGGCAGTTCCAAGCCACCTCCTTCCCCCTGGGTAGGAGTGGGCAGCCTGCATTATTCCAATCACTTCTCCTACCCTTGGAAGCTTAGCTGGAGGGCAGGGTATTGGCTGTTGGCCCAGCTCCCTGCTCTTCCCTTAGGGTCCCTGAGCTCTCCCAGCCTGAGGTCGTAGAGGTCCCTGAGTAGGGAGGCCTTTACACTGCACATTCGCTCCCTTCAGGGCTGGATTCAAGGTCATATTCCCAGGCCAGACGTCTGGGCCAGACTCGAGACTCAGCCCCTTGGAACTATATGGCCTTGGGGTGCTATGGCCTGTGCTCCTAGAGTATTACCAATAGCTGCCCCTGACTGACAGCTTCCCTTGTGGGGTGCTGTGCATGCCACCACAGTGAATCCCCTGCAGGAGCTCCATCTGAGAAGGTATAGGTATCCCCATATTACAGATAAGGAAATATGCTCAGAGCAATCCTGCTTGCCCAGTAAGCTGCAGGATCAGGAGGTAAACAGAGGACTGCCCAACTCCTGACCACTCAGGCTAAAGCCCCACTCCTCACCACTCAGCTCCATGGCTTCCTACCCCAGACATAGCACCAGTAAACATCAACTTGTGGTTTCCCCTCCACCAGGAGTTTCCTGGCCAGACCCCCAGCCCTGCTGTGCCCCAACCGTCCCTCCACACCATGGTTCTACCTCTGAAACAGCTATGCTATGAGCCAGCACTTTGCCCACTCAACCCTCATTCCTTCCCTGCATCCCCAGCAGGAGGCAGGTGGGTCCCTGACCAAGGTTGGAGGGTGCCCCACGGGGGTGCGGTGACTGGAGAAAGCCTGCCTAAATGATTAGAGCAGGAAGGATTGGGTTGGGATTCTTAGGATTGAAAAGGTTTAAAGCCCTGGAGCCTCTGGGGTTTGCTTCCTTAAGATTTTTTCTACCATAATTCAGTTTTTTTTTTTTTTTAGACCTAGTCTTGCACTGTCGCCCAGGCTGGAGTGCAGTGGTGCAATCTCGGCTCATTGCAACCTCTGCCTCC